ACCGGGCTTCCGCCTTCCCGCGGCAGGACAGCGGCGGCTGCGCAGCCACGAAAATGAAACCCAGAGAGTTTCCAGGAACGACGCGGCGACAGCGGGCTGGAAAACACTGCCGCCACCGATGGTCCCACGCAGGGCGTAAAATGCTCCCGGGTTTTTTTTCCCAAAAAGGAAAACGAAAAAAACCCCAAACAACAAACAACCAACAAACCCCCAAATGATGGTGCGGTCATACGGCGTGGGATGCAAAACCCGCCGGGAGATTCAGCATCGCCCCCTCCCCTCCATCCCCTGCAGGAAAAACCTACCCCACAGGTGGGATGTGGCAGGGATTTTGGGGGAGGACGCGCACACACACACACACATACACAAAAGCTGTCATTTGGGTCCTGGCACGTGTCAGGCGCGGGGCTCGCCTGCTACCTGGCCGCGGGTTGGCGTGCTCGGCGCCCGGCCGGCCGCGTGGGCGATGCCGTTTGCTCGTCCCGCTCCCTTGGCCAGACTTGCGGTGACTCAGGGAAAGTCTATTTAGATTTGGTTTGGCTCCTGCCGGCGTGACCCCGGCGGCCCGGCCCGGCCCCCGCTTTCAGGGGTGAAGGGAGGGGGTGAGCCTGGCAGAGCCCTCTCCTTTGGGACCCCCCCTGAGGTTTGCCGGAGGGGAGATCCCTCTTTTCCCCTGCTGTGAGTGGCACCGACGTCCCCCCCGCACACGTACGTGTGTGTGTTTAACAGCCCTGTTAGTTTAGTTTGTCATCACGCCGCTCCTCGGGGACGGGACGGCGGCTGGGGCAGGTGCTTTTTGCCTTGCCACCCCCCCCAAATCCCCCCTCCTCGGTCCCGCTCAGTGCCCCCGTGACGACAGGACTTGTCGGAGTATTTGAGCAACCGAGCGAGGAAATAAAATACACAAAGCCCTCGGCGCGCGGCCGCGTCTCTCAGCGCCCGGCTGAGCTGCCGGCTTCACCGCTTGCGAAGGATTTTTGGGTTTGTGGCATCTCAGGGAGCGGTCTGCATCCCTCGCCTCCCTGGGGCAGGGGACCGTCCCCTCGCCGCCCGCAGAGGGGGATGGCATGCAACCGCTTGCTCCGACACAATCCCTGGGCAAAGCTAGCCTGGGGTTTTCCCCCCCCTCTAACATCCCCAGACCACAAATGATGCACAAACCAGGAATTATCCACAGGGATGACACACAGTGAGCCATTTCCAGCAGCGCCGGAAAAAAAAAACCAACAAAAAAACCAAAAAAACCCAGTTCACAGGCCCGGGGCAGACATAATTCATTAAATAAAGAGCCGGCTGCGAATGTCCTGCTCGGGGACCTGGCGGCGTCAGACGTGGGGGCCCTCGCAGGGCTGAGCCACGGGACTGGGGACACACACACACACGGGGTGACCTGGCGAGGCTGCTCGGCATCCTAAAGCTCTTCCTCGCTGGGGCCCGTGAGGCGCAGCCCGGCCGGGGCAAGCGAGAGAGCCACAAGCGTCCCTTTGTGAGCGGGAACAGAGGGGGCTCTGTGCGCCCCGTGTGCTCCCCTCCGACCGCCCGCCGGGCCGGGAGATGCGGGAGGGCGCAGGGATGGGTCCCCGCTGCTGCCCGGAGAGCCGATGGGATGCCGCTACCTCCCGCGCCCC